TTCTGTCTTCTCGGCCTGTCCTATTTGCTGCCTCCCCCACCCCCGCCATCTCATCCATCCGCCCTCTACAAGCTCCCTATCTTAACCCCCACCCCTCACGAGCCACGCACTCACTCCCGCGCGGCGAGCGGTGACAACTTACAACAAAGGCGACGGCGGCGGCGACGGCGACAGCTTACCAGTTGTGTTGAGGATATTTTTCTGGGCTGCTTTTGCACTTTGGTTGGTTTCTTCCCTGCATTCCTGTACAACGGTGATACCACTCCTTTACTTTTCGGTGGCCCTTTTTCACTTTTCTGATTTACAGTTTTCTGCCCCTCTCCCCTTTTTTTCATAATTTGTTCCCCCCTTGTTGTTTTCCCATTATTTGGTGGAGTTGTTGCATATCGGGCATGCCACACGGCACATTTGGGAATTTGTTATGCTGCCAGTGGGCCCGCGGAGGTTTCTTTTTCATCTCTATAATTTTTTATTTGGATGGTCGGGGTAATTTGGTTGAAGTTTGGAATTGCATTTCCTATCACTGGATTCTCTTCTCTCCTCCGGCGGTAATTCCTGGACGTCACTCTCAGGCATGCAAGGGAAAAGGGGAAAGCAGTGTTCTGGATTGGATATCCCTGTTCCTCTGGACCATGAGAGCGGGATGGAGTCCAAAAGCGTCTTGGTTGTTTCTGGCGGATGACGGCTTGCCTGACTGGGGTGGCTTCGGTGTCTGTTGCTGCGCTGGCGGGATGGGTTTGGTTCTCAAGCCTGGGACCCCGAAGCGGTCTGCATTTCTGGTCATCCGACCACCTGCCGAGGAGCATCCCCCGGTCATTCCAGGCGGACACAAGCGGCGGAGTCTAGAAGCAACGGGAGTTTCGGATGTGATCGATAAAAGTTACTCATTGTATTTGGTTACTATAGCATCATCGGCTGGCTGGACTGGGTTTAGATTGGATCGGCTGTTCGAACTCATTGTTTGTTATTATTATTTTCGTCCCCCCCCCCCCCCCTCAGCATGGGAATGGACATAACAAGCCCCCGATGGCTGACAGTTTCCCAAACATTCATTCACTGTGTTCTTGTGTACTAACCCTCCCTGTCTAGCTCATCGCTTGATGACGCTAAAAGTGAAAGAAAAGAAAGGTGGTCAAACGCCAAGCCGGGTTGATCAACTCGGGAGGGGGGTTCCGAGGGAATGGATTGATGATGCGGGAATCAAGAAACCAACTAATTAAACAAATCACGAACGAACGAACGAGCGGGAGGTTCCATGGCGGAATTGCACCTCACCGCCAGTGTGGGAAGTGGGAAACCAGTCCTCGACGGGCACCTGCTTCCTTCTGATTTGTTCCCGACGGTCATGGTCCTCGGACCGAGCCCCATCGGCGGGGGCTGTCACGGGTGTACACCATGTGGTAGGTCTGCTTTGTGTCCACGTCAGGGAGCCTGAGAATTGGGAATCTGGGGGCGCGCATGTCGAGTCCAGCAGACGGCAGGCAGCAGCACCTGTCCCCGTGACTGGCGCCACAACGATTCGCGACCTGTGGGGGTTTGGTCGTGGGAGAAGGGGAGAAGTCAAGGAGTGCAAGAATTGAAGGGTTCGGATCCGACCTCGAGGCTCAGCGGTGTGTGGCGCCCCCGCACAGTGTGGCTGCCGGGAATCGAGATGGATCGAACCCCACCCGTTGACCCCACCTACCCACCCTCGCCGGGAGCAGACACCCGGCCCGCTTGACCTCAGCCACGGCTAAACCTCGGTATTCTCTCAATTTTTCGAGAACGGTCCTTTGCGGGCAGCCGCCGCGACATCGTCGTATCAGGTCGCAATTGCCGATCCCACCACACAGCAACCATGCCGCCGAGGTTGAACATTTGGTCGGCCTGTAGGGCCCTCACTACACGGACCCGGGCGTTTGCCCAAGGCCCCCCGTCCGGCCCGGCCATGCTGGCGAGGGGACTAGCCGACAACACCACATCGCGGTTACCGAACATCAACAACCCCAACGGGCTGCCCCAATCTATGGTACCCGAGAGCCAGCCACCCGCCTATGTCAGCGAGGACAACGAAAAGGCTTTGGACCAATTGCGCATGATCCAGTATGGCATCAACCCGCTGGACCCCTCGGTCGAGGGCCACAAGTACGGGCTGCCGGAACTACCATTGCCCTCGCAGAAGCACGCCAAGCACAGATACGACTCGGTGATCTCGCAGGTCACGAGGTTATTGATGGAAGACGGCAAACTGGCCAAGGCACAGCGGGTAAGAGGAGAGAGAGAGGCCCTACCGCCCTTGGGGCCTCGGTGAAAAATAAGATCGAACCGTTCTGACATCGATTTACCCCAGGACATGGCCATCATCCTACAATACCTACGCACCTCCCCGCCGCCGCGTCTCGATCCCGCCCGGCCGCTCCTCCCCGGCGCCCCCCCCGCTTCCCACCTCCCGCTCGACCCGGTCCTCTACCTGGCGCTGGCCATCGACTCGGTCGCGCCGCTGGTCAAGATGCGCGGCTTCAAGGGCCTGGCCGGCGGCGGCAAGTCGCTCGAGGTGCCCATGCCGCTGCGCGAGCGCCAGCGCAGGCGCACGGCCTTCGGTTGGATTCTGGACGCCGTGAGGAAGAAGAAGTCCAAGGGGAGTGGGCGGACCATGTTCCCGCACCGCGTGGCCGAGGAGATTGTGGCGGTTGTGGAGGGGAGGTCGAGTGTCTGGGATAAGCGCATTCAGGTCCACAAGGCGGGCACGGGTAACCGTGCGAACTTGATGCATGCGGGTGTGAAGGGTAGGCTTTGAGGTGGGGTGTTTGTGAGAAAGGAGGGGGTTGCTGGGGAGAACCCGGCTGGCGGGTAGGGCTTGCTCCTCTGTAGAGAGAGTGGCTGTGGTTTTGCGTACTGTACTTTATATCTGTATGGACTACTTTTGCGTCTGCGGATCGCTTCCCAAGCTAACCAATGCTGACTTCCGCTGGGCTGCCGATGAACAATTGCATTGTCTCTTGGTCGGCATCTTCCGACACGGGTCGTCCTTGTTAACTATGACTTGCAAACAACACAATGGAATATCCGCCACCCACCTGGCGCCCTATGAGAGCTTCTTGGGGCTGGGTTATGGATAGTGTATAATCAGCCCGGTGTCATCATGTATGAGAATATAGGTTGGCTAATATGGGTGGTTATCTTATTCTTTATTCCCGTAGAATGTTGGTTCTCCCGTGCTACCGCCTCGGCCGGAAAACGCGGTACATCTACCAAGGGTTATCCCCCTTCGGTGCGTTGTGCCTGATCGGTCTCGGAGAGGTTCTAGGGCCGAGACACGGGCGTTGCTTGACAGAGTTGTCGGGGTGCAAGGCGCTGTCACACCCGGTGCGAGGGTCTAGACCAGCAGCTGAACCCAACAGCTAAAAGCAACTGCCGTCCAGCCCACTGATAAGCAGGGTCCAGTTGCTCTCGCTGGGCGAAACTCCATAGCACGCAAGCGCCAACCAAAAAACCTCCCGATGCCAGATCTACAATCCCTAAACTGTAAACAGGCGCTTGCGTAACTTTGACGAAATTTGTACCCCACGAAGACGATAGATAAGAAGATGAGGGAAAGTAAGGATATGTAGCAATGGAAGGTAAGTGAAAAGTGACCATCAAATACTTGGTGAAGCAACATGGGTAGAAAGCATTGAAAAAAGGAAGCTGATTAGAGTACTAAAATCCATATAGAGGAAGCACATGATATGTGCCGCTTGGATGAAACTTGACGAAGTCACTTAAAACCAGTCAGTCGTCTGTGCCCAGAAGTACCTGGGTGAGTCCATTTTGGGGGGTCCGATCAGAGTCAGGCTCGATCCACCGGGAAGACCCGCTAGAGCTCCCCCCACCCCCGCACTTCCTGCGGCGAGTCGAGCCGCCACTCTGGTCCGCTGCTGCTGAAAAAGCCCCTGAACTCCAAATATTTCCGACGTCAATTCATTTTTTTGACGTGTCTTTCTCGCAATCACGGCCGACAACCTCTCTCGCTTAAGAACATCTGATATTCCCGCAACCAGCGAGGACCAATCCGCCCCACCAGACACTGGAACGAGACGAGGCGGCAGTGCAGCTTTTGCAGAACCCCAGAACCTTGTAATCGGTGTCTTGGTATCTTGGCAAAACGGAGCCAGAGCTGGCTTTCCTTGGGACAAGCATCTTGGCGGAGGCGCTATCCTCGACACAGGACTCACGGCGAAAAACAGCTGGGCTGACGCCCCCGCTATGATCTGAGCGCCGACAAAAGACTTGTTTAGAGGGCTCGGCCGTCGCAAATCGAGATGCTACTTCGACAATCGATATTGCATCTGCCTCAGCCTCGTATCCTACCGCGTTGAGACACCATCCGACACGAGCCCGCCAAACCTTACGATTAATACCTAAACAACAACCTGAAACATACGCCTTCTCGTTCATTGATCGATATTCTCCCCGCCAGACGTTACCCGCGTGTACAACTGCTGCTGCGAAGCACTTCTCCAACCTCCAAAAACCCCCGCGCAGCTTAGCTTATCGTGCCCAACCGCCGCTCACCATGGCGGGGCGCCAGGCGATGTCGATGGAGGCGATGCTTGATGAAGAACGGAAAGAGGTGCTTGCACTTTTAGAGGGAACGAATGCACGACCAAGACCTCCCAGCTCGCTAGAGGCGCGCTCCCCATCACCCTATACCCCCCGCTCCCCGGTGCGCAGCATGCTAGACATTGGTGATGACCCTCCGTTCCTTACGCTCCTCTCTCCAGTGCTCCCCAAGAATCTTGGTACTAAGACGCCATGCGCCCCTGCAGCCCCCGTGAGGAGTATGCTCGATGTGGACAGCCCGCCACCGCCGAAACCAGTCCGAAGCATGCTGGACGTGGACAGCCCACCCATCGCCGCAAAACAAGTATTGAGTACGCCCTCGTCGCCGACCGAGTCCCATGCCCGCGCCCAGGCGGCTAACAACGCCCACCCGAGGAGTATGTCGGACGCCTCCGTGAGGCCTGTCGACTTTGGGCCGAGGTTGGGTCCCGCACGGGTCGATCCGACAAGTGAGTACCAGTTTTCCGGGATTATCACGACCCACGGAGGCCAGGCCCTGCCGAAACGAGTCACGCAGGGTGGTAAGCGGTCCGGTGTGGTGCCCGATCAGGGCAACAAGCGATCGACTGCAATGGCCGAGATAATGAGGGGCAACGACATCTCCGGCCTGGCCCTGCCTGGAGACCGAGGGCGTCACCATTCCGCAAGCGGTCCGCCAATGCGTCCGGGGAACAAGTCTAAATCGCCCTCTAGCCGTTCGGGCATGCGCTCGCACTCCCCTCGAGGACCCCTCTTACGAAACCTGAGCCCCGCTGCCCGAGCAGTGGTCAACGACCCCGAGATAGCCGATTACAATAATGCGTATCGGCGCCTCTCAGACGCCGCGTTGGCCCGGTCTGGCGGGAGCTTGTCAGAGCTAGGAAAACGGAAACCCTCGACCTACATGACTGGGGCTGGCAGGCTAGCTAAGGACTACCTGAGCCCCGACGGCGAACTATTAGTCGAAGATAGTAGCGAGGACAATGGAAGCTCGTCTGGGGAGGAAGGACAACGTGGGAGGAAAGCTGCTCGGTCCGAAAACTCTGATGCCCAACGACAAGCTAAAAGCTTGCTGGCCGCGGCCGAGGAAGAACGTAGGTTCAAGAACAGACCCCGGACTCGCATAGTGGGCTTGCTAACCGCGATGAATAGGTATCCAAGTGGCATCACAGCAACCATACCAGTACAGGTCACTTCTGGACGAGCCAGAAATCACGGTGACGAACCCATCCGGCGAGCGTGTAAAACACAACAAACCCGCCATTCACCCGACCACCAGCTTTGATGACCCCCCTGGGACGGGGACTCACACGCCTATGGACTCAGATACTGAGGCAGATTTAACCGACATCAAGAGGGCGCAAAAGCTGTCATTCGCCATGACTCAAATTATGGACACCCCCGAGGCGCACCGGACAATCCAAATCATCACCCGAGGCGAGTACGCAAAGCTGGTCCAGGACGCCGAAGAAGAGCACCGGCCCCCGCGCAAGTACTTGGTGGCCACGGACCTGAGCGATGAATCAACCCACGCGCTCGAGTGGGCTATCGGTACGGTCCTCCGCGACGGCGACACCCTCCTGGCCATTTATTGCGTCGATGAGGAGACCGGCATTGGTGCTGCCGACAATGCACAGGTGCCGGACGATCCCAGGGCCATGAAAGAGCAGGCGGCCGCCATCAACACGGTGACGTCGAGCAAGACGCCCATCACGCCAAGCGGCACGGACCTACCGCTCCGAAACCAACGTCCCTGGCCGCTACTATCGAACGCGTCGGACACGGGCACGACGTCAAGCGTCTCGCCGGCGCCGTCGATCCACCGGGAGCGCAGCAAGGCCGAGGAGGATAGGTACAAGACCGTGCAGGGCATCAGCGAGCGCGTCACCAAGCTACTCCGCAAGACGCGCCTCCAGGTGCGCGTCATTGTCGAAGTTTTGCACTGCAAGAACCCCAAGCATCTGATTACCGAGGTGATTGACCTGGTCAACCCGACGCTGGTGATCCTGGGGAGCCGGGGGAGGAGTGCATTGAAAGGGTACGTATCCATCTTGCTTTCCTACACCCTGTGACCAAAGTTGTGTGCTTGTTTGCTGTGGCTGTCGTAGCTGACAATGGTGTGCAGCGTCATACTCGGCTCCTTCTCCAACTACCTCGTCACCAAGAGCTCCGTCCCCGTCATGGTGGCGCGGAAACGCCTGCGGAAGCAGGGCAAATATAAGCGCGTGCCCTCGACACACCAGATCAACAACATCCATAACCCGGCGGCGAGGAGTCTGGCGAGTGCGAAGATTGATTAGGCGTCGCCGTGAAAGCGGTGGCACATTGGCTCGAAGTCATGATTTGTTACGGGAAGTGGGAAGAGGACGAGGAGGGGGATACCGACAATATATGGGGAGTCAGCGCATTGGTAAGGGGGGGGAGGTGGGCTACTTACTGTACGGAGATGCCCTTCTTCTTAGTCGGCTCTTTTGGCTTTAGCGGGTAGTTTACTGGATTTGGTCGGCTCGAGATTTGCTTCTACAGGAGGGAGGTGGTGTGATTTTTGCGTGTTTTTAAGAGTAGAACGGTAGCGGGCGGGCTTAATGACCATATGATAATTGAGGCTGCGCTTGAATGGGGAAATGGACGTGATGAATGTGTGATGCTTTGAGGGCAGATGGAACCCTGACTATTCTGTCTGTCCACAAGATAGTATTTCCTTAGGAGAATTCTTCTGGGTTAATCGTGGTCATGTTATTGTATTGTCTTGGAGGAGATCCCAGTAAAAAGGACCCTTGAGGCCAAATAAAAAAACCCTAGAGAGTTCGCTTGCTAAAATAGACTGACTGTACCACCCCCGCCCACGGCCTACCCCAGTAAGCGTGAAGCGAAGCCTGGGGCGATACTGACCGTCCACTACTGCAAACGTTTCCCGGTGGGCTGCGCCCCCCAGACCCCCTGCTTTTTTTGTCGCCTTCGGCGATACTTCTGCTACTATCTACATCTACTATACCGACAACAAAGCCGGCGACCCGCCCTCGCCACACCGCCATAATACGACGACCAGCCATCGCTCAGGGCCGACGACCAACTACGGTAGGTAAGTCGACGGCCTTTGGCCGTCAACTTCCTAGCTTGTGGTCGTCTATGGCCCTGAGCTTGATGGCTTGGCGCGTCTCTATAGCTCGGGCTTGGTCGTCGGCGATGTGTACAAGTAGTAGTATCGCCCGCGCCGATAAACCGCAGGGGCCGTCAGCTTCCTCCGAAGTGGTTGCAAGGGTTATAGGTGCGAGGGTTATAGGTGTAAGTGGTTGCGAGGGTTGTAGGTGCAAGTGGGTGCGAGGGTTGTAGGTGCGAACGATGGTTGTATTGTTGAGCCACAACCCCACCAAATGCAAGATTATACACGATTATATACCTAGTCAAACCTGTGGCATCCAATCGCTCCCCTGAGAACTATTGGAGAAAAGCCTCGTAACAGAAACGAAGCGTACCTTCTTCATTTTCTCAATATACATTGTATATCTCCAGAATTCATCAGGAAGCGCTTCGCTTCAATCATGCGGCTCAACCAGGAAGCTCCTACGTCTCATGAAGCAACCCTGCCATCACCGCCTCCACCAGACAGACCATCAGCCCAGAATGCGGGGTGATAAGGAAGCGAGAACTCCACTGCTATCAACATCCATGTCCCGAGCCTCCTTGCCCGAAGCCCCGCTAGGATAAACGCCCCGGCTCACAGCAGCGGGATAATACCACAGCATCGCTTGCCCGATTTTGTGATGCCGAGAGCCTCCAGAATAGCATCGGCTTGGTGAGCTAGAAATAGTTAGTTCTAAGATATTGTAGTTATAGGAAGTTGTAGTTATAGGAAGTTCTGAATAGATTTACCCGTCATAGTGTTGATCTGGTTTACTGTCTGTGGGAAGCCGGGAATATCCGCCCCGTCTGCAACAGCAACGAGCGGTTCGATGATATGCTCGGCCTTGACTACATTCCGGTTATTGATAAGGCGGGTTGATGCATTCATGTCGTAGGCTCGCAATTTCGCACCAAGGCGTGTCTCCATCTTCCGAATCTCTAATGATTGGATTCTCGTTCATGGCGGGCAAATTGTTTAGGCGCTGGACTTGCAACGCGATTTCTGACAGGTGATGGGATGATTGGGTGAAGTCTGGTGTTCGGGAGGCTCTGCCATGATGGTGTTGACCGGAACAAAATTCTTGGAGTTCAAAAAATTGGAGGGCAGGTTGAATTTCCAGGTTAATTGATACCTACCTACCTAAAGATACAAATTACCTAGGTTAGCTACCTAACTTGAGAAGGGACGACCGTTCTGCTGAACTTGCCTCAGATGGCTGCCCCGCCCTCAGCAAGGGACAGCGGGGTTGGTTGGCCATGTGTGACTGCCGGGACCAGGTGGAGCAGCCGTGAGGCATCTTCCCAGCCACTCGTTTTTCCGGGGCCCTACCTGGCTCTCTCGGTCGCATCCACCACCATGCGACTCCTCTCCCCCCCACTGCGACGCCATGCAGGCCCGAGGATTTGAGGCAGAACAACACACTCGAGTGACTCGTTGTTTTTGGAAAGTACATCCAGGTGGAATCGCCGCTAGAACGCGACTCGAGTTTTCGATTGTTTATCATTCTAGAGTCAGCGCTGCCTATCAGAACCCCCTGAAAAACAGTGCGAATCGCATCGGCCGTTATCTACCCAACTTAGCCAGCTTCCACACCCGCAAATCGCAATCAATCACACCACACCAGGTCCCAAGACGGCATCGCGCCGACCAACCCGATCGGCCCGCCCCTCTCGCGCATCGCAGCAAACGGTCCCTCCCTTGCGGCGACAACTCCGCGACTCTGTTTGATGGGGATGCAGTCTCTCTTCAGCGTCCACAACAACGTGTCGCTCATCAGTATTAACATTGCGCCGAGTGCCTGGGTCGCTTCCCTGGTGCTCTCCCTAGTCTTCCTCTTCCTGTATCTGCTCTATCAGCCCCTGCCCTCTTTCCGCTGGACAAGATTATTGTTCAAGCGCCGTAGGCAACAACCACAGCAACAACAATACCGAAGGGCCGCACCGCCCATTATCGAGGAGGAGGACGACGACACTTATTTCGAGGAGGAACCACCCCGACGACGACATATCGAGCACACCCCATTGCCACCACTTCTCACCGACTATCCCTATCCCTTTGACCGCAGCGTCGACAGCGACAGCACCAAGGAGAACGAAAGGAGGGAAAAGTCGAGCCGCAAACAACAACAACTGCGGGCTAGCGACAAACGCGGCGATAGCAGGAGTGGCAAACGAACCGCGACCAAGGAAAGCGGAGGAGGAGGACGGGGATCCGGCAGCAAACGTAACAACCCCTCCAGCCACAACCATGACAGCATCGACAACGAGAACAGCCCTCGGCCCTCTCGACCAGCTCGACGCGTCTCTGGACGACTTCGCGCCCTCGATTGGCAACCAGAGCCGGCTGCCGTTCGGCTACCCGTCGACCCACTCGGGGTTCCGGAGCGACGACCAGAGCGAGATGGGCGACTCGGATTCGGAGGCTTCCGCCGGTGGCTACAGTCCGCCCGCCTGGAGACGCCTCGAAAACGGCAACCGCAGCAGCGGCTTCTGGCGGAAAGGTGACGACCTCGCCTTGCTGTACGACGGGATCGACGGCGGCGCTTTTGACGGGCTGCGCTCGAGAGAGAGCAGCCCCGAGTATGAGAGTGCCGATGAGGGGGACGCGGTCCTCGCGCAGGCCATCAGGACGAGGTTACCCACGGGGAGCTTGTCGCCGGAGAAGGAGAGGAGCCCGGAGCCCGAATTCTATCCGGCGCAGCAACATTTTATTGACGACGTGGTTGGTATTAAGCAGGAAGACGATGGGGCGCTAACGTTGGGTGAGCTGAAAGACCGGAGGCTTGCGCCAAAAGACGTGTCAGACAATTGTAGGTCGGACCTTTGTACCCCATCTCTCTGTTTCACCAAGACTTATACCGTACCAGTTATTCGATTTGCCGTCAGGGCAGAAGTGCAGCAGCGAACCGAGCCCATCGAGTCGGCCATCAACTTCGTCCGCAAGAGGTTCCATACCATGACCAGATCATGGGCTTCAATCTTCTTCTCTTTTATCATTGCCACATTTTCCTACGCAGCCCTGCGGTGGATTTCACAGCCAGCCGCAATGCGGCCCGTCCCCGACCTGGTCAAGGTTGCCGGCGTCGCCCGTTCCCTTGAACCGCTGATTTACTACTCCGAAAATGGGATCCAGCAGGTCGGCGATCTCCAAGCAACAGGCGTCGCAGTCTGGGACCTTGGGGAGAGCGTCCGAAGTAGTAACCTGACCTCGGCTCCCATCATTGTCAAGGAGCTCGACGAGCTCAGCGACAGCCTCAAGACGCTTGCTATCGAACTCACAAAGTTCTTTGCCAATGTCGACGGCGATATCGACGGGTATGCGTTCAGCTTTCCTGCCCCCAGATGACTTCCGCATTCTCCCCTCCATTACTAACCCTCACTGATAGCATCCTGATTGTAATGGACTGGGCCCGCCGCGAGCTCTCACAGGTCCAACACCTACCCACCCTCCCGCTCTCCTCGGCCTTCGACAACATCCACAATCTCCTTTCCAACGCCGGCATCCTCGAAAACCCGCTCACTGGCCAGCCCACCCGGCTTGGCGCGCTCGCCACCTCCCTCTTCGGCCACTCCACCCCTCAGCGCACCAAACAAACCCTCCAACGCACCTTCAACGAGTTCCTCACCGTCCTCGAAGACGCCGTCGCCTCCGAACTGCAGCACTCCCTCGCGCTCTTCGCCCTCTTCGAAGCCATCGACCACCAATTCCTCAACCTGGCCCGCACCGTCATCCGCGAGGCCTCGCTCCAAGACGAAGCCCACACCGATCTCCTCTCCTCCCTCTGGACGCGCATCCTCGGCCCCAACGCCTCGGCGGTCGCCAAGTACGAGCGCAACCGGCAGCTGCTCCAGAACGTGCGCGAGAAGACGGTGCGCAACAAGGGCGTGCTCGTCGAGCACAACCACCGCCTGCTCGCCCTCAAGGCCAAGCTCGAGAACCTGCGCCGCAAGCTCGTCTCCCCGCTCGTCCGCTCCGTCAACAGCAGCACCCTCACCCTCGCCGACCAGATCCGGGGGTTGGAGGATGCGGGGTCCCATCTGGAGGATGTAAGGGTCCAGCAGAAGAGTAAGCTGTTTCAGACCCTGTATGGGAGTGGTGCCGCGAGGTTGCCTGCGGTGGATGCGGGTGGTGCTGGTGCTGGTGCTGGTGCTGGTGCTGGTGCTGCTGCTGCTGGGGGTGGGGGTGGAGCGGGGAGGCGGTTTATTGGGAAGGCTGGGAGGTGAGCACGAACGGGTGACTTAGGGGGGAGGAGGAGTCTTTTCTGTATGCGTGTGTCGTGCGTTGTTGTTGGGTTGGTTGGGGATTGGTCTGGGATTTTTCTGCTACGGAGTGAGGAGGCGTTTTCATGGTTGGTTGGCCTGTTTTTGTTTTGCTTTCTGTCGTTTTGCTTTCTCCTCTCAATACGTTGTTGTTAGGAAGGGTTGGGTACGGACATTGGTTACGGTTATCTCTGGACTTGTCATTACATGGGTGGGAGTGGGCAGGGAGCATGGAGTTTAGCCTGTTGGGCAATGTTGAGTTTCGCATGTGGTGGTTGGGTAGTAAGGAGTGCGCGCGCTAGGACCCCAGGACTCGAAGCGTGGTTGGGTGGGTGTTGGTGATTCTCATGGATGACATCGGTGTTGGTTGACTAGGCGCATCAAGCACACAAAAACAATATGAATTAAGCAAGACCTTTGAGATCGCTGCAAAACACCATGGGCGTGCGGGCATTCATAACGCTTAAGTAGCTACAACGAACGCCCATACTCATTCATGCACCGCTCACAGTATCCGACATGCATAGAACTTTGCTCTGTATTAGCTAGTGCTGCTCCTGTTCAGGATAACGTCTGCCCAGCTCGAGGATACAGACGTCCGGCAACCCCAGCCAGCCATTCTCAGCGAGATTGCCGCACACCCGGTCCTAAAACCTGAACTAGCCGGCAGGACACTCATAAAATTCATAACCGTAACACCGTATCGGCCGCTAACAACCCCGCCTGTCCGCAGAGAGGGCCCACCTAGGACCATATTTTACCCATCATAAGCAACTCTATAGCCATGTCGTAGCAAGATGCCGTAATAATCCGTCGTCGGAGATGTCCTCGTCTCCTATAGAAATGAGCCAGATCCATCCGATGCTGGCTTTCACTCCGCCTGCATCACCAGACTGGAATCATGCTGCTGCGAAGCTGGTATCAAAACTTTTCCCGACCGACCAGAACCGAAAACGAAGAAAAAATCGCATCAAAAGGCGAGAACTTGAGGGACAGTGCCCTAAGCCTTCTCCTCAGCCTTCTCTTCTTTGGGCTTTTCAGCCTCCGCCTCGCCCTGTGTAGGGGCCGGGCCCTGGCCGGGGCCCTGCTGCGATTTGACGTACTCATCGTAGACAGCCATGGCCTCGTTGACCTTGGCGACGAGAGCGGCCTCATCCTCGAGCCTAGAGTTTGTTAGCGAAGGTAATCAATGGGGACGGGAGAAATGCTAAAACTTACAGGTTCACGAGCTCAGCGTTGTCCATCTCTAGGAGCATACCGGTAATCTTGCCAGCCAGGTCCGGCTGAAGGGCCTGGATCTTGGGGAACAGGTTCTCACCCAGAATCTGCTTCTGCTGCTGCGGGTTGTTGGTAGCAGTGAGCTGAGACTGGAGGAGGGAGCTGGCATTGAGCTCACCACCCGCAGCAAGAGGGCCGGCAGGGGGGGCTCCACGGCCAGCGGCAAAGTTGCCACCACGGCCAGGACCGCCGCGACCACCCATGTTACCATTCTGGGGCCTGCCGTTCGGAGGGAAACCGGCCATGCCAGGACCACCGGGCATGCCCTGAGGAACAGGCATGCCCTGCATACCCCGACCACCTGGGCCACCAGGACCACCACGCCCGTTACCGAGAGCGGCGGCCTGCTGCTGTACCTGCTGGATAGCAGCAAGGAACTGCGGGTTGTTGGGCTGAGGGTAGGCGCCGGGAGGGAACTGGCCAAGCGGGTAGATCGGTAGCTGCTGGGGAGGCATGCCACCACGGCCGCCCTGCTGAGCATAGGGGGGGAACTGACCCGGACGGCCACCCTGCACAGCAGGCATGCCGAGGCCGCCCTGGGGGAACGGCATGCCACGGCCGCCGGGAGGCATGAAGTTCGGCTGCTGACCAGGAGCGTAATAGACGGGGGTCTGCATGTACTGCTGCGGGAGGCCGGCCTGAGCGGCAGCTTGTTGCATACGCAGCTGGTTGCGGGCCTGGATGCTAGCCTCAAGCTGGTTCTTGCGAACGTCCTTGCGCTGAGCGAGGGCGACGTAGAGCGGCTTGCCCTCGATCATGCGCTGGTTCATCTCGGCGACGGCCTTGGTGGCGTCGTCCGGGTTGCTGAAGCAGACGAAGCCGAAACCCTTGCTCTTGCCCAGCCGGCGGTCGCCCTTCTTCTCCGTCTTCTTCTCGGCACCCTCGGCCTCACCCTCGGCCTCGGCCGCTTGCTCGCCCTCCTTCTTGTTCTCCTTGTCCTTGCCCTCTGTCTCCTCCTCGGCGGAGCCCTCGGTCACCGCATCGCGCATGACCTTGGCGGAGGTGATGGGGCCATACTCGGAAAACATCTGGCGCAGCTTGTCGTCATCGATATCATCCGCCAGGTTCTTGATGTACAGGTTGACGCCTTGGTATTTGTTAGCTTTCTCAAGGCGAGCAGCCTCATACGACTTCCGCAGCTCCTCCTCGCGCTCGTGCTTCTTCTGAGCACGACCGACGTAGAGGTCTTGGCCGCGGAATTCCTTGCCGTTGAGTTCCTCAACCGCCTTAGCGGCGCACTCATGGGTGGTGAAGTTGACGAAGCCGAAACCGCGGCTCTTGCCCTCGGAGTCGCGGGCAAGCGACGACGAGGTAACGTCGCCGTACTTGGCAAACAAGTCCCGGAACTCTTCGTCAGTAGCCTCGAGGCTGATGTTCTTGACGTAGATGTTGGTGAAGTTGGCCTTCATCTCCTCGAACTTGCTCTGACGATCCTTCTTGGGGATGTGATAGCCGACGTAAACCTTCTTCTCGTTCAGGAGCATGTTGTTGACGTGCTTGATGGCCTGGGCGGCGGCCTCGTCGGTCTCGTAGTGCACGAAACCATAACCCTTGGAGTTGCCGTTCTCGTCCTGGGCAACCTTGCAGCTCAAAATGTTACCGAAAGCAGCAAAAGTGTCGTGGAGAGCCTTGTTATCAATGGCGACGTCGAGGTTCTTGATGAAGACGTTGCCCTGGCCAGTCTTGCGCAGAGCGGGGTCGCGCTGGGACCACATGATGCGGCAGGGGCGGCCCTTGATGAGAGTGTAATTGAGCTCCTCGAGGGCCTTCTCGCCATCCGAGGTCGAATTGTAGTTGACATAGGCATAGCCGAGGGAGCGGCGGGTAATGGTATCACGGCAGACACGAATCGAAGCGACAGAGCCGATCTGGGAGAACAGCTCGAAGAGCATGGCCTCGGTCACAGACGGGTCCAGCTCGCCGACGTAGAGGGAGGCCGAAGACTGAGGGTGGGGAGCAGCCGAGCTCGGGGTCGGCCCAGCCGTATCGGGGTCGGCAGTCTGGTACTCTCCAGGAGCCACGTTGGTGTTGATGGCAGGGGCGGCGCGGTTGTCACCGCCGCCGAGGCTAGTGTTGCCAAGATCAGCGGCAAGCTGGTCGACAGCGCCGGGGGCAACGGGAGCGGCCATTTTGACAGTCAAGTCTGGGAACGAGGAAATGTCAGTTTTGCGTGCCCCTGTGCGATTGGGAAGCTACAGGGCGTTTGCGAAGTGAACGGTACTCGGGCGACAACGAAAATGGGGGGGGTGCTGCGCGATGCAAAAGCGACCGGGGTTCACCTACCGAATTGATCGAACTGGGAAAGAAGAATACCGCGCGCGAGGGGTAGCGACGGTCAACAAAGAACGAGACTGTGATAAAGCCTCGATCGGGTTCTTTATTGCGACTGGAGAGAAATCTCGATTGGAAGAACGGTTGCAGGACGTCTTCCAAGGAGAGAGATGTGGCGGATCGGGAATGGGAGTTTTGGTATTTTTTTTGGTGGTTTTTTTTTTTGGAAAGATTGATAGGTAGGTATCGGGATTTTTTTGTTGGTTTTCAAATTTTTTTTGGACAGGTTTTTTTGTGAGGGACCAGAAAAGAATTAGACGAGAACAGAACCAGTGACGGTTGTGTCGTACTGATCCGACTCTTTTCTAAAAGGTTGTGGAAAGAATCCGGGGATAAAGGGTTTGATGGTTTCATTCAAGGAAAGAGGAGGGCAAGAATGGCTCCTGCGGAGACAGATTTTTTTTTCTCGCCGCTCTTGTTGCACCCACAAAGCGGAGAATATTGAGTTAACCGAAGTTCGAGATGCGGCGCTGAACTTTCACAGTATGCTTGCTCTCAACACTGTTCTTGAAATTCAAAGCGCAGGATTCCGGTCCTGGCTCTCAAGGGGGTTTGCAGATGCCATTTCCTGCAACATTCCAGTCCTTTGGCCACTCAGTGTCAAACAAACTAGGCAAACCTTCTGCGGTACTCCCCGAATTAACGGGGCGGACAACTGGCTGTTGTGAAGGAAATAGCACCCAAGTGGCAGCCTATTTTGTAGGTACCTACACTTCCTCCTATCAAAAAGCAGCTGACCAAGACAAAAACATCAGGTGGTTTTGAGATCATGAGCAAGAGGTCTAAAAGATAAATTCCAAAACTTGTCTTATGGATCTTGATCAAACCACGATGATAGAGACGCAACGAGCTCTTAACCACATGAACCAAACTTTGTGGGTTTCAACGACTATAACTCTATTCAATGTAGTTTGCTTCCCTTCAAGTCCTCATTGCTTGGAATTCTCGGCTGTCTTCCGGAGTGTGGCTTTTCTTTTCTTTAACAATGGGTATGACGCCTTAAATCGATATCCTTCTACTGGGCTCCATGGTGGTTGGCACCACTTGGCGGCACAACCAAGGGTGTGGCGGGGTAGCACTCTTATCGTTATCAAGCAGAACGACCCCTGGTCCCATGGAAGCTTCCATCATCACCTCCGTCCCCGAGCCGCAGCTTGCAGAACAATGGAAGGAGCTTCTCTCCCGTACCAAATATTAGCCAAGACAGGCGCAAATTAGGAACCACCGAGATCCGGTGCCGATTTATGTGTTCTAGCCCATTTCATAAGTGAATTGCCGGTGCTGTTTGATAGGTAATCGACCGCGGCCCCGAGCCACCAACAAACAGTTGCCGTGCGTGCCCGCCACACACAGCCAACCTGCGCTGCTGCCTCGCTGGAGGCCCAAGTGGCGGGAGCTCACATTGTCTCGACTTTCTGCAAGCCGACGGCGTTGGATATCTAACCAACAATTTTTCCGGGTTTTTATTTCAGATCAGAGGCACTCCGCAAATAAATCCCCTGTCTATCCAGGACTACCTACTTAGGCTACAGATTCTGGTGGCAAACCGAAACCCCGCCATCCCGAGCGGTTGATATTGGAAAGCTCTCGCTAGGGGTTTGCTGCACCCCGCCAACGGCCATGTTTCCGACTTTCACCGGAAGCTCGCGCAAAGGGCGAAATGTCAATCTCAGCGGTCAAAAAGCGATAAACCCTTTCACTAGCACATCATGGGCTCCCAGCGCGGCCGTCGGGGCGTCCAAGACAGTGGCACATGCTCAAGCCGAGCGGCTACAGCGGCAACAAGAGCGGGACCGCCTGAAGGCTGCGCAACGCATCCAGAAGACATGGAGAGGGCATAGGTCGCGGCGGAACCTACGGATAGCACGCCGGCAGGCCATTGACCTCTTGTACCGTGGGCAAGGACAAGTGGACGTTGAACAGAGAACAACACAGGCGACACCCCTGGTCCTCAGCACATATCAAGCGTCCGACCGAGACGACCAGCAGCGGCTGTGCTTGCTCGCTCGCGATCTCCTACACACCAGATTTGCTTGTTTCGCACCAGGAGTCTTAGAGTTGCCTCGGTTGGGGCGATTGATCCGAATAGCGGCTTTCGCCCTTGACAGGTGAGAAGTGCCGAACTAATCCGATTTGACCGGAATGCTGACTCCGGTGACGGCAGGCTCGACCCTAAGATAGCGAACGAGCAAGTCCAAATCCTCTTAGAGACCGTTGTTGAGGCAACAAAGCTACGACCACAGTCGGTTCAACATTACCTGGGGATGCTCTACAGGGTACTGGGGAGATACTGCCGCGATCTCGGCCCGACCTCTCAAATGCTGGACCTCGTCCGAAGGGCTGTGGTGACACCGCTATCTGCTACGGCTACACCTGGTATGTGTCTAACTTCCCCTATGCTCGGCCGGTTTCACATCAAGTTGAGCCTCGGGCTAACCCCGCCTAGAATCGTTCACCCAAGCCGCCTATTTCGAGTTTGCAGCCTCGTTCTTAACACAGCCTGACTTAGCCTTGTTTGAGTCTAATGTTGAGCTTTTCTCGGCTGACTTGGATGTCGACCGGCTCTCGAAATCACTTCAAGATGGTGTGATCACGGATCGCAAGACGACTGGGTCGCAGGCGGGTCTCTTGTGGCTGCTTTCGCACTTCATCGTACTACAAAAAGTGAAAAGGCGCCTCGTGCTTCATTCGCATTCTCTACGAGTCTTATATTCCCTGTTGTCCACGTTGTCGACCACGATCCGGGCCGGGTTTGCGGCCTCCGACTTGAAAACTTCCGACGTAGCCAGCGATGTGGAAGTTATCCCCGGGCCGGCGCTGCCTTTGTATGTTTCTGACAAGCTCTCTTCACTAACAGACAGAGACGAGATCTCGGGAGTCCTCGAGAAGTTCACCTCGTAAGTTTACATTCCAACCAATGCCGGTCACAACCTGCTAATGAAACCAGGGACCACGGGGGTAGCTCCACGTCCGAGCTTGAGGACGCCGGCTTCCTCGCCGGATACATCCTCACCCTCATTTTCTGCTTTCCGACTCTTGGTGACGAAATTCGGATGCGGCTGTATCTAGCAGACATCCCCACCCGTCAAGGCCCCCTCCCTGCCGTCAAGTTCTTCTGGAATGCGTTCAGTAGGACGTCAATATTCTCCAAAATCGGGTCAGATCCTGATGCTGCGCTCGAAATTCTACTCCAGAAGCCTTCGTCCCAGACCGATTCTTGGTGGCACCGCGAGTGGCGCACAGTCCTCTTGTTTCTCGAGCTTTATATCTTTGTCCTTCGCCTAACCGACGATGACGACTTTTTCAGCGGCCTCAGTGTACCATTCCACTCGGGAGGCTCGAGTCCACGATTGCGTTTGAGCAGCCTCGGTCTTCAGGAGCTGAAACGCATGACGCTTTTTCTCAAGCACCTCGGGTTTACGCTTTACTACAGTGCTGCCGACTTGCTCAATTCGAACCCTAGTGACGCAAACATGGTCGATAGTTCGTCGGCCTTTTTGACTCGGCCTCGGAGTGTGGCCGGAAGCGACAAGACAGTGGAAGCTTTGCCTTTTGTGCTCACCGCCGGCGTCGATTTTGGCGCATTCAGAAATCTCGTTTCCACGGCAATGAAGATGCTCTACGAGCGGGATTCCAGACGTCAATTTCTGCCACCGCAGCATTGGCTAATGACATCAAAGTTCGACATGGAAAGCTTCCTTTCTGCTGTCGTGCTCGAGGAACAGAGCCAGCGTGAGCAAGCCGAAGCCGAGGACGAAGAGGATAACGATGACGCGGATGCAGCAGAGCCACCGGTGCCCTTCTCATCCAGTGGTTTGAGGATATCTCGACAGGCCCGAATGGAATGGATCAGGGCAGCGCGAAAACAAGCTGCACGGGATATTCTCAGGGCTGCTGCTGGCCCCAGGCTGGAAATTTTGCGCAACATGCCGTTTGTCATTCCCTTTAACATGCGGGTTCAGATATTTCGACAGTTTGTCCATCTCGACAAGCACCGGAGAAGGGGGGGCAACATCGATCCGGACATGTGGAGGTTATGGGTGCTCAACCAGCATGGTGGTCCGGCTCAGCCGACCCCCGCCGGCAGGAACATCATCGGTCGACACCAAGCGCAGATCCAAAGAGGTCGGATGTTCGATGACGCCTTGGAATCCTTCTGGGGTCTTCAGGACGGATTAAAAGAACCGATCCAAATCACGTTTGTTGACGAGTTCGGCATGCCAGAGGCCGGGATCGACGGAGGTGGCGTGACCAAAGAATTTCTCACGAGCGTGACGACGGAAGCGTTTACGCCGAACGAGGGCCTGTTCATCGCGAACAGCAAGAACTCATACTACCCGAACCCCTGTAGCATAGACCAGTCAAAGAACGCGCTTCAAGAGGCACAAATTCCCGAAAATTCTGAGGAATGGGCTGAGACTATCACGTCCCGTCTCCGGCAGTACGAGTTTCTCGGCAGAGTCATCGGGAAGTGCTTGTACGAGGGAATTCTCATCGACGTATCCTTTGCTGGATTTTTCCTCCTCAAGTGGGCCACATCAGCCGGCGCGTCCGACACGTACCGCGCCAACATCAACGACCTCCGCGAACTCGACGAAGAATTGTACCAGGGCATGCTGCGCCTGAAGAACTACCCCGGCAACGTCGGCGACCTCTCTCTCGACTTCACAATCACCGACCAGATCTCTCTCCCAGGCGAGCCATTCCGCACCACGACCCGCGACCTTGTCCCCAACGGCGAGAACGTGGTCGTGACCAACGAAAACCGACTTCTCTACATTAGCTACGTCGCGCGCCACCGACTCATTATCCAGCCTTACGCACAGACTCGGGCTTTCCTCCGCGGGCTTGGTATGATTATTGATCCGAGCTGGCTGAGTATGTTCAACCAAAATGAGCTACAACGCCTGGTGGGCGGCGACAGCTCCGAGATCGACGTCGAGGACCTACGGAAGCACACGGCCTATAGTGGGGTCTATGAAATCGGTGACGACGGCCAGGAGCACCCAACTGTGAAGCTGTTCTGGGAGGTGATGTACCAGCTAGAGGACCGCGAGAGGAGGGATGTGTTGAAGTACGTCACAAGCACGCCGCGCGCCCCTCTCCTGGGGTTTAGCCAGCTCAGCCCGCCGTTCAGCATCAGGGATGGTGGCAGGGACCAGGAACGGCTGCCGAGCGCGAGTACGTGCGTAAACCTGTTGAAGCTGCCGCGGTATGATGACGCGGAGACGCTGAAGAGGAAGCTGCTGTATGCTGTTACAAGTGGCGCCGGGTTCGATCTTAGCTGAGCGTGAGACATCGGGCGCACGAGGGCGTTTATTAGCGATGGCAATGGTATTGTAGCTAGCTTCGGTAGACTAAGGAAGCGCATTGGAGATCTCGAAATGCCTTACGATTATGTTTATGAGAGATCGCTGTTTTTACTCCCAAAGTACGTCAGTCTGTCAACCCACACCCACCCACTCTCGACCCATCCCTTCCCACCTCCCTCCTCAACTCAACACCGCCCCTCTCCCACTCTTCTCCCTCCGCTCCAACCTCCCCACCTCCCTCACTAACCTCGCCGGATACAACAACAAAAACCCCACCATCACCACCAGCATCGCCACCCCATCAAACACGTACACAAACACCTCATGCCCCCTCACCACTCCCCCCCCCTCACCACCACCACCACCACCACCACCACCACCACTCCCCCCCTCCAAAAGCTCCACCCCGCGCACCACGCTCCGCACAATCAACATCCCCCCCGCCACCTCCATCACCACAAAATACCCCAGCCAATTCACCCCCGGATCCGCCACCATCGCCCGCGTCGGGTCCCGCCGCAGCCGCGCGTGCGTGCGCCCGCAGCCGACGCCGACGAACACCCCTAGCGCGGCAAGCTGGAGGGCTAGGCCGGCGAGGACGAGGGCTTTGCTGAGGTGGAGGGCGGAGGGCGTGCCGCTGGCGGGGAGGACCGTGCCGAGGAGTTGGGTGAGGATGGTGACTAGGTCGAGGAGGATGTAGGTTTTGGTGGGGGTGGGCTGGAGGAGGCGGGTGAGGTGGTGAGAGGGGGGTTGTTTGGGAGGGGTGGTGGTGTGGAGAAGGGAGTGGGTGATTTGGTGGTGGGAGAGGTAGAGTGTTGCGGCGAGGAGGGGTGGGGAGACCAGGAGGAGCAGGTTTTGGAGGATCCAGGGGCCGAGGGTGGTGGGGTGGTTGTGGGCGGCGGCGCGCTCGAGATAGCCGAAGATTTGGCCTGGTTTGGTGGTTTGGTTGGGTTAGGGGGGTGGTTGGTGAGGAAGTGGTTGCTGGGGGTTATTAGGGTAATATAGGAGGGGGATAACGGCTTACAGATGCCGCCCAGGAGGAAGGGGATAAAGGTCCACGCGCGGAACCAGATCAGGTAGATGAGGTGGCCTAATGTGGCGGCGGCGAATAGCCCAAGGAAGAGGTAGGCGGCGACGTTACTTGGGCGGTACTCCCAGAAGACAATTACCATGGTCCCGTTGACCACGGGGCCGAAAGGGGGGCCGTCGTTCAGGGCCATGGTGGTTGAGAGCCGGCTCGACAGCTTGGCTGGTGTTGGGGGTTGAAGTGTAAGCCAGGAAGGGCAACAAGGATCACAATGAAACTGAGAAAAAGAAAGTATTCTGAATAGTTTAACATGGCGGATAGTTTTAAATCCCAACGGGGGCTAAAGGGTAGAAATACACAACAAATAAACGAACACTCCTTCGGGCGTCCAAGTCAAGTCTATACTAAGCCTCACCCTCCGATACCCGAGTCCGAAAAATGGCATTTTTTCGCTTAGCTTACGATTTGATTTGGAGTTTGAACAAGGTTGGCATGTTGAGACATCTCAAGATCAACACTGGGTCCTTGGATCCCCTTTGTCCCCAGTCGAGGCCGCGTCATGCACTGCGGGGCGGCCCGCTGCTTATACTTGCAACTCTGCCGAACCAAGGGTCAATAAATATTTCTCGCATCAGATGCGAAAAAGGGCAGCGGTCCAAGGTTGGCATCCCATATCCCATAGGAAAACATGACGGCAGCATCGTCACCATCGACCAAGAAGTCTATCCGACCCCACCGAAAATCACGGGGTGGTTGCGGTCTTTGCAAACGGAGGAAGGTCAAGGTTTGTCAGTTTTATTCACGGCCGGGCATGTTTGTTTCGCCTTTGGCTTTACCCCCGCGTCACTGCTTCGTGTCATTGCTGAACTGATATTCCCTTCCCGCCCCCCCCTAGTGCAACGAGGAGAAGCCATGCAGCAACTGTGTAAGCTTTAGTCTCCCGTGCGATCTTGCTCCGGGTGGGACGCGCGTCGAGTACAGCAAGGCTCCAGGATCTCGACCCCCTCGAGGCCGGCCTCGGAAAGTTTGGAGCGGTGAGTCTGCGTCTCTTCCGGCTGCCCATGGCCACAAACCGGCACCAACCACCTGCCGGAGTGAAACGGATTCCTCGGGGACACCATCACAGTCCCCCAGTTCCACGGCAACACCCAGCTCTCCGGCCTTCGATGCCGACCGGACGCGTATTAACCTTGACAATGCGGAGCTCCTCCTCCACTTCGTCACCACGACAGCAGAGACCTTCGCCGGCGGCGAGGACACGGGGATGCACCGGTTCTGGGCACGCAACACGCCGCAGATGGGCTTGAGCCATCCGTTCGTCCTCCACCTCATCCTCGCCTCGGCCGCGTTTCATCTGGCCTACGTAGCAACCAAGAAGAATAAAGGAACGGAGAGCGGTGATGACAATGGCCGTCACCAAACCCCCAGCGCTTACCTCTCTCTCGCCCGGCAGCACCTCACAGCCGGCGTTTCAGGTTTCTCAGCCCAGCTCTCCCGGCCCGGGCCCGACAATTGCGGCGCCCTATACCTCGGCGCGGTGCTGACGAGCTATTGCACTTTCGCGGCTGGGTCAACTAGCCGGGACGACCTGCTCGTGTGCACGGCAAGCGACATGGCCACTCCAAGTACAACCACTGCTTCTGCTTCTCCCGGCTCGTGGATGCCCTTCGTCTCCGGAGTGCGCCTCATGCACGAGTCCTTCAGGTCCGAGGTGCTGTTCGCAGGCCTGATGGCGCCCTTCAGGACCGGCTCACTGTCGGGGCAGCAGCTTGAACAACCCGTCTACGCGAGGGACGGGTTTCCGAGACTGGACTGGGAGGGCGCATTGGACGGGCTTAGGGGCTTCATCGCAGCTGCCAACCCAGATGGGGAATCTCCCAGGACGGCAACGGCATCACTCTGCCTCGCAGCGCTTGACGCCTTAATTGCGATCTACAGCGCCATCTACGGACGCCGTCTAGGCCCGGGCAACGACATTACACACGCCGGCCCCTCCGAGGACCAGTTCGTTTTTGGCTGGCTCTACCGAGCCCAGCCCGAGTTCGTGGCGTGCGTCAGGAAGCGCGAGCTGCATGCTCTGCTGGTTCTGGCGCACTACGCCGTGCTCCTCAACACAGATACGATCCCGGGGGGATGGTATATCGAGGGCTGGAGGGAACACATCGTGGCGAGGGTGGGCGAGTTGGTTAAGAATGATGGAGAGTGCAGCAAGTGGATAGGTTGGCCGGTGGCACAAGCAGTGCCGAATGGAGAGAGCGGAAGCGGAAGCGGAAGAAGAAAAGAGGGAGAGCTTGTGCCGGTTACCCAAGATATATTGCCTCCAACCAACCAAACCCCTTGACGGCACTCTGGGGTAACAAGCCCTTGCATGCTTGGCATCAATAAGCTCCTCCGGCTGCTCGCCGCGCACGGCACGCTTGTCCCGAAGTGGCTTTGGCTTGGCGAAGTGGCAGACACAACCTCTTCATTCCTCGAGCTGGCCTTTTCGGCCTTTTCGAAACTGGCCATGACGGTGCAGTTGGAGTTTCAAGACACGGGTTGAGGGCCCCTTAGCCGCCGGTGTTTTTTCTTGAGTTGCAAATTCTGAGTTGCTCGTGAAGATAGGGCTACTGCTGGGACAGTAAGAGTGCCTATGCTGGGCACGGAAGAAGCCTGAGACGAACCCCCCCTTTCAGCACACAGCAAGGCCGGGCTCACATAATCGGACTCACCAGACGGACTCACATAAACGCCATCATGGCGGCGCCAATACACCTCCGGGGCATGCCTCGTATGAGCCGCATCCTCGCCATCGCTCTGTTCTGCACCTGTATCCTTTATCTACTTTCCCATTATGACTTGAGCCTCGGAGCGTCACCGTTCCCCTCCTTTGGATCCAAACCCAAGGATGACATTCTCCGTTTTGTCAACCCCCTTATCGGGACAGCCAACGGCGGTACATTTTCCCCCCTCACCTCACTTGAACCCCCCCTTCACCCCATCTCACCCAACCCCCCTCACCACCACCATCACCAAAACCAAAACCCAAAAACCTAACCAAAAACCAGGGCACGTCTTCCCCGGCGCCACCCACCCCTACGGCATGGCCAAGCCCGTAGCCGACACCCTCTCCCGCGCCGAAAACGCGGCCGGCTTCGTGTCCGACAGCAACCCGATCCTCGGCTTCTCGCACATGCACGACTCCGGCACGGGCGGCCAGCCGTCGCTCGGCAACTTCCCGCTCTTCGTGCACCCGGGCTGTCCCGGCGACGACCCGTCGCGCTGCGCCTACTCCGTCATGGACCGCCCGACGGACCGCGTGGAGGGGTCGGTGTTCGCGGCGCCGGGGTATTTTACCGTCAATTTGACGAATACGGTGCGCGCGGAGATGACGGCGACGGAGAGGGTGGCGTTGTATCGGTTTGGGTTTTTGGGGGTGGGGACGGTGGATGTGAGGAGGGTGGAGGGGGAGGAGGTGGTGCGGGGCGTGCCGTACTCGCCGGTGGTGGTGGTGGATTTGGTGGATTTGATGAATAGTCGGAGTACGGGGGGGATTCAGGTGTTTCCCGAAAGTGGGCGGGTGGTGGGCCATGGGACGTATGGGCCGTCGTTTGGGGCGGGCAAGTATTCGGCGTACTTTTGTGCGGATTTTAGGGGGGCGGCCATTCGGAAGACGGGGACGTTCACGACGAATGAGGCCGTCGAGGAGCCCAAATTCTTGGATAGCGTTGGGTCGGGATATCATATGCCGACGGGGTCTGCGGGTGCGTGGTTGCAGTTTGAGGCTCCCGCGAATAACTCGCTGCTGGCGAGGGTCGGGGTGTCGTTCATGTCGGTGGACCAGGCGTGTGACAACGCCGAGAGGGAGATCCCTGATTGGCATTTCGAGAGGGTGGAAAGTGATGCCCGGAAGGAGTGGCGGAAGAAGCTGGGTGCGATCGAGATCGATGCTACGGGAGTGAGCGAGGAGCTGCAGACTACCTTTTGGTCGGGTTTGTACCGGACCATGCTGTCGCCGCAGAACTACACGGGGGAGAACCCGCTGTGGAACTCGACAGAGCCATACTATGACTCGTAAGTCGGGCTACCGAGAGAGACTTGGGGGGAGGCAGTTCGGTTGCTGACTTGGGGACAGCTCTCTACTGCATCTGGGACTCGTTCCGCGCTCAACACCCGCTGCTGACCATCATCGACCCCGAAGTGCAGACCGATATGGTGCGCGCGTTGATCGACATCTACAGACACGAAGGTTTGAGGCACTGAGCCCATAAATCCCGAGCGGGCCGCTGACAGCTCCTAGGAAAACTACCCGACTGCCGGATGAGCTTTTCCTAGGGCTTCTCGCAAGGAGGTTCCAACGCAGACGTTGTGGTAGCTGATGCCTTCATCAAGGATCTAAAAGATGGTATCGACTGGACCACTGCTTACGAGGCAGTCGTCTCAGATGCTGAAGGGTATGATTGATTCACCGCTCCGTCCCACAACCCCGCCCCATGTCCCGTTTGTGTGAACACACTCTGACCCCCCTCTCCTCCAGTCGAAACATCCGAACTTGGGGGCCTCTGGCGGGCGCGGCAGACTCATCTGCTGGGCACGAGGCTCGGGTACATCCCGAAGGACGACTAAGACCGCATCGGCACCGGCCTCATGAGCCGTAGCATCAGCCGGGGCGTCGAGTACGCCTACAACGATTCTGCATCGCCCTCATAGCCCAGGGGCTCGGCCACGAAGCCCGACGCCGCCAAATACCGACGGCGCGGCGGCAACTGGCGCAACTACTGGAACCCCACCCAGCGCGACGTCTTCAAAGACGCCAACGGCGACCTCACCCAAACCGACTTCACCGGCTTCATGCAGGCCCGCCTGACCAACGGCTCCTTCCGCTACACCAACACCCGCGCCTGCTCCCCCGTCCAGGACATGCACTCGTGCTACTACGACACCGGCCTCGACACGTACGAAGGCAGCCCCTGGTTGTACAGCTTCTACGCGCCGCAGGACATGGCCACCCTCATCCACGTCATGGGCGGCCCCGACGCGTTCGTCGAGCGCCTCGCCTACTTCCACACCAGCGGCATCTCCTACCTCGGCAACGAGCAGGGGTTCCTGCCCGTGTTCCAGTTCCACTACGCCGGACGCCCGGGGATGAGCTCCCGCTTCGTGCGCGAGTACATCCCGGGGCAGTTCAACGCGACGGTCAACGGCATCCCGGGCAACGACGACTGCGCCATGGGCGCGTTCAGCGCGTTCGCCATGATGGGGTTCTTCCCCGTGGCGGGCCAGGACGTGTATCTGCTGTCGACGCCCTTTTTTCCTGAGGTGCGGCTCAAGGCGAAGCAGAAGGGGAAGTGGGCCGTGATAAGGGTGCGGGATTATGATCCTGAGGGCGGGAGGAAGTATATCCAGCGGGCGAGGCTGAATGGGAAGGAGTATACGAAGAATTGGATCACCCACGACTTTTTCTTGAAGGGGGGCGTGTTGGAGCTTTGGGCGGGCGAGGAAGAGGGGAGCTGGGGGACGAGAGAGGAGGATCTGCCGCCGAGTTACCCTATCCAGTGGGGGGAGGGTCCGGGATTGGGTGAGGGATTACAGGAGTAACGTGTTAGGTTATCATGGTACATATATGAACAATGTATCGCTTGGAATTAGAAGGGCCGAACAGGGCCGAAGTGTATGTATGCACTGATCTGACGTGTTCGATGAGTAAACAGTTCTTCTTGACTGGGTATCATATCCTTTCTCGACCAAAGACAGTTCTTCTCACGTATTGCAAGTAAAAGCCACAGATTAATCCTTCGCCCACGGTGCCTTGGTCACGGCAAACTGGTTGCTCGCTGTCCCCGGCTTGCCCCGCGGAAACGCCGTCGGCGGAGGCGGCCCAGCATCCGGGGCACCCCCCCTCGGCATCGTTGGCGCCGAACTTCCCCCACCGGTCCACGGCGCCCTCGAGTACGGGATTCCGGGTCCCGGTGGCACCCCGGCGGTAGCACCGGGCATCTTTGTAGCTTGCGCCCAGGGGGCAGCAGTCCCCGGCCCGCTCCCGGCGGGGGAGGGGTTGACGTTACTCGGCTGGTTTGCCAAGTGCACCGTCTGCGCCGGCACAGCGGCCTCCGGATCGGGGTCCCATGAAAACAGCGACCCGAACTGGAAGTGCTGAACAACCGGGAATTTGGAGAGCACTTCAGCGTTGAACATCTTGATCATGCCCTTGTTGATCTTGCCCCAGCCGTCCCTGATGCCCGAGATATCAAACAAGATCGGGCTGTGCTCCCAAAACGGACCCGTCTTGACGTCGTTGATGAAGCCGATGGCCGAGAAGTACATGTTGGACTCGCGGTAGAGGTCAACCGTGGCGGGTTTGGCGACATCTGAGGGCCGCGGTGCGCCGGGAAGGGAGCCTTCCAACGGCATGGGCTCGGCTTCGGTGATAGGTCGTGTAAGCTGTGCCGACCCGAAGATGTACGGCAGAAAGGAATGGTCGTCGAGGCCCCATACGCCATGCGATCCCGCCGGCTCAAGGTTATATGTCAAGATCAACTTCCTCACAACCCTGAGGTACCTATAGCATACTTATCAGCACAACCCACATCCAACATCCACCACCACAAAGCACAACTTACGCCTCAAAAACCCCCAACACCAAATGCCTCTCCACCTCCCCATCCTCTCCCCCCTCCCCTCCC